ATTCCAGATTTTTTTTTTTATTAAATGAGAACAGTGGTTATATTACCAAATGTGATTTTAAAAAACCAAACAACCAACCATAAACCCAAATCAAACCCACTGCTATCAAACAGGTTCCAACTAATTGAGAAAATCACATTTTTAAAGCTGTACATCTTTTAGGGAGCTCTGGTGACCTGTGGTAAGGAGCTGCACTGCTAACCCAAGTGCACAGAGTTCAAATCCACTAGCTCGCTTCCCCACCTCTTTGGGGCTGACTTCCTCCCATCTTCTTGGCCTCTGCTGCCACCTATCTCCACATACAGCCAACATCATATGCTTTGGAGACCTCAAGACAGCTGTTGGCCTTCAGGTTCACAACATTTACCTGGCCAACAAGGCTATATTGAGGGGTATGTGCTATTGCAAATAGAAATAGTGGTGTTTGAAGCTATTTCCAGCTCCCTAACTGCTGACCTGTGTTATGCTCTGTGTTGTTATAATCACATCAGGTCTTATGAGAAAGAAAAGGCCAGCCTGCCAGAAGTGAAGAAATCTTTGGGCAAGTATGGCCCTGCTAATGTGGAAGACATCACAGGAAATTGAGCTGCAGACAGTAAAGATGACGATGACATTGATCTCTTTGGATCTGATTAGGAGGAGGAAAGTGAGGGAGCAAAAAAGCTAAGTGAAGAATGTCTTATACAGTATGGATCAAAGAAACCAAAAACCTGCGTTTGTTGCCAGGTCTTCAATCTTAATAGATGTGAAGCCTTGGGATTATGAAACCAATGTAGCAAAATTGAAAAAGTGTGTCAGAAGCATTCAGGCAGATGGCTTGGTCTGAGGCTCTTCTAAGCTAGTACCAGTGGAATATGAAATTAAGAAGCTTCAAATACAGTAGTTGAAGATGATAGAGTTGACACAGATATGCTGAAAGAACAAATAACTGCTTTTGAAGACTGTGCAGTCCATGGATGTGTCTGCTTTGGACAAAATCTCGAGTCCATTTGCATCCATCAATAAAAACTTTTAAAAACAAACAAACAATTCACTAGCTGCCCTAAGTCTAGTCTCCTCTGTAGTTTACTGCCTCCTCTGAAACTTACTGGAGGATCAGCCGTGGGTTGATTCTACCCATATATTGAAAGGAAAATTTTTGAACGATGTCCCCACACCCAGTCTTGTAAGAACCTGTACTTTTGGTCTTGTGTAAACGTTTATGTTCCAGGAACTAGCCGACCACAAAGTGAACAAACACTGAAAAAAAAAAACACACACACACAAAAAAAAACACCCCTGTATCTTAACTGGCATCAACAGCAGGTGGCTGACCTGGGACTGAACTTCTGCTTTTCTGAAGAGCCAATGAGCAATCTCCACGCCAAAGAACCCCTAGACCCTCTATAAAACCCCCTTGCTTTCTCAGCTCGGAGTCGACTCCCTTGTCTCCTGTGTGAGATACCAGTCGACCCGGAGCTTCGCCAATAAAAGCCTCGTGTGTTTGCAGCAAGTGTTTCTGGTGTGAGTTGCTCGGTCTTTCAATATAACAACCAGTCTATAAATCTTTAACTTTTTTTTCCCTTTTAAATCTTTTTGTTGTTGGTGGTGAGGGTGGTGTGTATTGTTGAATAAGATCCAAACTGGCACAGGAGGAGATTACCCCTCCTTCTCCAGCAGAACACCTGGTGGATTCAGACTGTAAGGCTTTAGGATTTTAGCATATCTTCTTGCCACTAAGCCACCAGAGTTCCCTTAAAGGCTATAAATCTTTAGGAGGACACTTCATTTTTGTCCCGCGGGAGTTGGATTGCCTTGAACTGATGACCTTTTAATTCAGCCCAGTGTCTTACGCACTAGGCAACCAGGACACATTAATATCAAAAGCTATTTGGAAGATAACCATTACTGAGTAAGCCAGCACTTTTCCAAATGACCAATTTACAGTGTTATAGAAGTTAAAAGTCCAGTGAAATGCAATATAGACCAGAGGATTTCAGAATATGAGTGTGAAAAGTTTATTTATATGATTTTAGATTGTAAATTTAAGAAACCATGACCTACCAAATTTGGATTATAAAACTACTCCTCTCTGACTGTAGGTCTCTAAGGCATGATTTTCTCCATACACTTAAAGCAGTTTACTATAGCAGATTAAACACAGAAGAATTTAGCTATCTTCTGTTAAGCAGAGATTTTTCACAAATGTAAAATTGCTAATTTTACTAATTTTAGGGAAAGTAAATAAAGTTCTTTTTCATGGCAATGCACAACAATCTGTGGCTGACTCTGAGAAGAATGGGAATCTCAGATCATCTGATTGTGCTATGCGAAACCTATACTTGAACCAGGAGGCATTCATCAGAACAGAGCAAGAAGACATTGCATATTTCTAAATTGGGCATGGTGTCTGCCAGGGATGTATTCTATCTCCATACCTCTTCAGTCTGTATGCTGAACAGATCATATGGGAGGCTCAGCTGTCTGAGGATGAATGTGGCATCAGGATTGGTGGAAGATCTATCAGCAATCTGCATTATGCAGATGACACAACCCTGCTTGCTGAAACTGAGGAGGACCTGAAACGCTTGCTACAGAAGGTCAAGGATTGCAGCCTTCAATATGGATTGAGGCTCAGTATCAAGAAAACAAAGATTCTCACCACTGGGCCAATTGGCAGCATCATTATGGATGGTGAAGAGATTGAGATTGTTGACAGTTTTAGTTTCCTTGGCTCCACAATCACACTCTTGGTACCAACAGCCAGGAACTCAAGAGATGAATTGCATTAGCAAAGTTTGGTGTCAGGGACCTCTTCAGAGTACTGAAGAGCAACAGTGTCATTCTGGAAACTAAGGTGTGCTTGATCCAGGCCATCGTCTTACCAATTGCTTGCTATGCATCAGAGAGCTGGACAGTGACTAGAGTTGATTGAAAGAGAATTGATGCCTTTGAGCTGTGGTGCTGGAAAAGAGTTAATATATCATGGACTGCTAGGAGAACAAATAGGTTCGTCCTAGAGAAGGTGAAACTGGGCTGCTCCTTGGAGTCAAGGATTCTGAAGCTTTGTTATCTTTGGACATTTTACAAGAAGGGACCAGTCCTTGGAAAAGGGATATTATGCTTGGGAAGGTGGCGGAACAGCGCACGAGAGGAAGGTCCTTGATGAGATGGATTGATTCATTCTGGGGCAATAAGGATAGGTGTGTTGGAGGCAATAAAGTTGGCACAGGATAGAGCAGGGTTTAGGACTCTTGGACATAGGGTCACTATGAGTTGCAAGTAACTCAACGGCAAAAAACAAGAAGTAAAATTAGTTATTGTTTTCTAAAATGCTAACTCTCAAAAGATAGAACCTATAACACTTGAGTACTTAATTTCTTTTTTATTATTGTATTATTTTTACGTGTACCATCAAATCAGATCTAACTGGTACAGGAGGAGATTGCCCCCTCCTTCTCCAGCAGAGCATCTGGTTGAGTACTTAATTTTTAATGCTACAAAGATAGCCAGATTTTGAGAAATTCTCCTCTAGATTATTACAGTCCTTATCCTGCTCAGATGTATTACAGTCCTTTCTCCATCTCATATTAAATAGTTTTCTATTTATCACTTGCTAGTGTTGAGGAAAAGTTACTAAAAATAGTATTACTCCCAACCCAGAAAAACCTCTTCATAAAAGAGGAGAAAAATTTTATTAAGAGATATTCCTGGAAATGTGGTCTATCTCAGGCAATTTGCTAAAGAATTTCTTAAGATAAAAAGAAACTTACCTGCTACACAGTTAAGTAGAAATTAAAATTGCTAATTTTCTAGTATCTTTATGACAGGCAGTCTGAAGTTGTGGTAAATTCCTTCTAGAAAACTGGTAGGGTAGGGGCTTCCTTCATGATCACATTCAAAAGAAAGGCTCTAAAGTTCATGAGGAAACATCTTGACTTGCATACTTTTAAAGAGACTGAATATGAGTTGTCTGAACTGATTCTAAAACAGTTAAGAAGATCTTTCCCTTATCAGTTTGTCTTGCCTTCTATTTGTCAGCTTGTAGGAACGCCACTTGTTTGAGGATTTACACATCCTTTCATAATGGATTGGGAGAAGTGCTGGACTGGTCTTTAGGGAGATGCATTGCTAACTCAGGCCTCTGGTTGTTTGAATCCATCATTGGTGCCTCAGGAGAAAGGTGACCAATTCCTTTGCTATTTACTGCCTTGAAAAACCCTGCTGGAGGATCAGCTATGAGTCAGTAAGGTGTTGGTTGGTTTTGGTGGGTTTTTTTGGTGGTTGTTGTTTTCAAATTTGGGTAGTATACCAGTTAAACCCTCTATTGCTAACCAAAAGCTACCAAAAGATAGCCCAATGATCTATGTCCCAAGAATCAGCCATTTTATATGCACCTTGGTGCTATATTTACTAACACCTTTGTATTAAATGCTAGGCACTTGAGGCTTAGAGATGCTGTGTAGTAAAACATAAAACTGAGATCCAAATCTTTGACCTCTGATGTTATATACTGTTGAATGAGAACCAACTCAAACTAACCCTCCAAGAGTTTTTCAGAGGCAGTAAGTCACGTGGCAGGAGAATGCCCATCTTTGTCCTGCATAACAGCTGCTGGATTTGAATCACCTTCTTTTGGATTGACAGCTCAGCTCCTTCTCACTAAGCCACCAGAGCTCATTTTGGACTCTAGAGTCCTTGTTTTCTTGGATAAGAACTGAGTACAAGGAAATAAAAGTACTGAAAGAAAAGGAGTAGAAGAATATAAAAATACAATCTCCTTGTATTTTGCATATTTATTAAGGTCTTAGTAGTCAAGTGTAATAGAAAATCATCTAATAACCATCCCGATTGGCTATTTATATACCTTTTAAAAATAAATTTCTGGTTTCAGAAACTAGAAATAAACTAAGAAAAAAAGGTTGTATTTTTTAGGATACACCTGTAATTGCTAAAACCAAATTTAGTTTTATTTCAGATGCTGTTCAAAATACTTTTTAACCTTTCTTTTTCTTTTGCAGAAGATTCTAGTGTTCCAGACTCTCCAGAAAATGAGAGAAAAGCAAATAGATCCTATTTCACAACTCAAAGAGGAATACAGTATATTGATTTGTCTTCTGATAATGAAGACGTTGTGTCCCCAAATTGCTCCAGTTCTGTTCAAGAGAAGAAATTCAGCAAAGATACAGTGATTATAGTGTAAGTTGCTAAGTACCAAATTAATTCTCTGCTTTTTTGAGAGATTGTCCAAAAGGAATTTTACCTAATTTTTGCTAGTATTTTGGTAATGACATTGTTATTTTTCTCTGGGAAATTACTCTAATGAAACCATATGAAGTGTTGGGGGGTTTTTTTTCTGAGTAATTGTCATTTTCAGTACAAAGTTTAATGAGACTAGTAATTTAGTTTTACCCTTTGTAGAAAATGAAATAATTTAAACTAGCAGATAAATTGGTGATTTATGACTACTCTTTTCTTCAGTTCATGAGTCAAGTTATTTTATGTTTATCAGGTGTGTTCTAAGAAAGAGAAACTACATTTTAACTAGGAATAAACCCGCTCTAATCCTTTCCCTCAGGGCATGTTTATATTCAATTCTGATAGATAATAAACAAAACATGTGATAGGTCAAAGGTTGAATGTTTTTTGAAAGATCCTTTAGGGCTTTGATGGGAACATAGTATCTAAAGAGCATAGTTGGGAAAAACTGGATTGAAAAGATGTTGTTTGAACATTTTATTGAAGGTAATAAATTGAACTGTTTATTTGGGCAAAGAGTATTCTAGGAATTAGGAATAACCCTCTTAGTTACCCTGAGTCATATTCTTTAGGCAGCTAGGAGGCAAATGATTTGGAATAAAGAACCTGAGATTACAGTGGTAAGGGACATAATACTGTTAAATTTTTGGCCTAAGCAATTAGAAAGATAGAGTTATCATTGCTCAAGTGGGGAGAATGGTTTTGAGTATGGATGGTGGAATACCATTAGAAGACAACATCACTAATTCCGTTTTAACATACTGTGATTATTAAAGCTCTTAGACATCAAAGTTATCATGACAAATATAAATTTTGTTCTGGGAAGAAGTCTATATTGCACATCTAAATTTCTAAGTCTTCCATGATTAGATTTGCTGTTTAAAGCCATGTTGTTCTTGTTGGTTTTTTGTGCAGTTGAATCACTTGTGACTCCTAGTGACCCTGTGTACAACAGCTCTGAACCCAGCTCTATCCTGAGCCAAACTTATTGTCTCTGACACACCTAACCCCTTACTCCAGTCACTGAGTCAGTCCATCTCATTGAGGGTCTTCCTCTCTTACACTGTCCTTCCACCCTCTGAAACATGATTTCCCTCTCCAAGGACTGGTCTCTCTTGTAACATGCCCAGATTGTGACGAACGGAGCTTCAGAAGCCTTGCCTACAAGAAGCAACCTGGTTTCACCCTTTCCAGGACGAATTTATCTGTTCTCCTAGCAGTCCATGATATAATCAATACTCTTTTCCAGCACCACAGCTCAGAGGCATCAATTCTCCCTCTGTCATCCTTAGTCATTGTTCAGCTTTCTGATGCATAGCAAGTAATTGTGAAGACCATGGCCTGGATCAGGCACACCTTAGACTCCAGACTGACATTGTTGCTCTTCAGTAGTCTGGAGACGTCCCTGACTAGCCGACTTTCCCAGTGCAACGCATCTTTTGTTTTCCTGGCTGCCTTTTAAACCCATATAATTATATAATATCACCAAGGATAGCTAATTACAGCCAGAAAAGAGATCTTGCTTGAGGGACGTAGCCAAACAGAACTTTGGGTTTGAGGATCAAAGAGATGTGAAGAAACTTGTAGAAATTTCTAAGAAGGAGCAGTCATTTAGGTAAGAAGAAAATAAAAGTAAGCTTGCCAGTTATTGATGTTGCCTGTTAAGATGACCTCTTAAGATCAATTTTGATGGGCACTTATACCATCACAAACATGTCTTACTCTGCAATTGACTCTAAATGAAAAATAGATTTTGTATGTTGATATGTGCCATTGAACTGTTTGTTACTCCTAGTGAACCTATCTATGTACAACAGCCCTGAATCCTGCTCTATCCTGTGCAAATCTTACTGCCTCTGACATACCTACCCCCATTACCCCAGTTACTGAATCAATCTATCTCATCAAGGGTCGTCTTCTCTTGTGCTGTCCTTCCACCCTCCTAAGCATGATGTCCCTTGTAACATGTCCAAGGTATGTCAGAGAAGCTTCAGAATCCTTGCCTCCAAGGAGCAGCTTGGTTAAACTGTCTCCAGGACAAATCTGTTCGCATACCATGGCTCAAAGACATCAATTCTTCTGTCATCCCTAGTCATTGTTCAGCTTTCTGATGTATAGCTAGTAATTGCAAAGACTATGGCCTGGATCCAGCACATCTTAGGCTCCAGACTGACATCATTGCTCTTTAGTACTAAGATTGTGTATAGTTAATCCTTTGACAGGATTGATATAATTTTGGTATTTTTAATAAAAAAATTACAGAAGTTTTGCACAGTCACCTTGCACAGTCCTTTTCAATTACTATCACTTTAAATATCACTTTTTAGTAACGTTTCACCACAATTATTTTATCTTTGTTTTCATAAGTAATAATGGCATTGCCTCTACTATTTTACTTCCTGAACATAAGGACATAGATTCTTTTTTGTAGGGTAGTACTTAAAATTTATTTAGAAATTACCCATTTACATTGGTACAGAACTGTTTAATATGCTGTCCCTATTGAAATGTTAGTGGTTACCCAGTGCTGCTAAGGGTGGTGATTTTTGTTTTGTGCCATCCAGTTGAGTATGACTCCTAGTGACCCAATGAACAAAGGCTATGAACCTTGTCCTATGCTGTCCGTGACATGCCTGATCCCATTGCCATAGTCACTATGTCAGTCCATCTCATCCAGGGTTAGTTAGTGAGCGACTGTGGCAGTTGGTGACACCCTTCGAAGACATTTAGAGATGAGGAACATTTTTATTATAATTTTGAAAGATAAGTTATAGACATATCAATATTTCTCCCCTTGATTTGTATGCTCCCTCCTTCCAAAATAGTCTCAGTGTTATTATCCATGAACATTCTCTTAATATCTTTCCAGTTCATACTCAGATTGCATTTGTTTGGATTTTGTAAATTTTTTTTTTTTTTAGATTACATTTGTTTTAAAGATGGTTTTTCAAATTGAGATGCAAAGAAAGATTATTCATTACATTTGGATATTATGACTCTTAGTTGACTTTTAATCTAAAACAATATATTCCCGTTTTGCTCCCTCACTCAGTGTTTCCAAGAGCTTTGACTTACTGAAGAAATTGGTTTATTTTTACAATACACTTTTTTTACTTTTTCTTATGCTTATTGCCCTATCATTTGTATTTTCTTTAAGCCAGGGTAAGATTCGTAGCCAACATTCTATACCAAGAAACTTTTAACTGCTCTATCAAGAAGCATGCAGAGTTTGTTCTAGGAAAGTTTCCAAGATTGATAATGGGGTTAAGGTTGTTACAACAAGAAAAGTTAAGGACTTTTCAAAGTAGTAATGTGGAACAGGAATTTATAATAAAGAATTCTGGTCGCTGTGCGTCTGAATGAACTTAAAGGCAGTGGGCTTCTAACTTAAAATAACTTTCATATTTTTGGTAAAAAGCTCTGGTGGCATACTGCTTAATGTATTGTGCTGGTAGCCAAAAGGCTGCTTATCTCTGATAATTTACATTCACTCGTGGCTCCAAGAGACAAGTACAGTCTCTCCCTGTTAATATTGGCTACCTTTGGAAACCTAATGAAGGTTCAACATGAGTCAGAATCAACTTGATGGGAGTGAATCTTTTTTTAAAAAAGTAGCATAGTAGGGTAAGATTTCAGAAATTAATCTGTCAGTTATGAAAGTCTGGATAAACTGGAAGGGGAAATAATTTTCTTCAGATATTTGATGAATAGATAGTGAAAAAGAAGATACTTGCTTTTACTGTGTCTGAGGAATAAATGAATAACATTTGGTACAAAATTTGGTTTTTCAGTGTAGAATATAAACAGTGTAAAATAAAATGATATTGAAAGTTGTTTGAAAATAAAGTCACAAAATAAAATGTTTTGCTTGCTGAGGAAAAGTTCTGTCCCAAGCAGTTTTTGTGATACTGAACCAGATTATTCCAGTTAATACTTAAAATTCTGGTCAACTACATAGGCTATGATAATTGTTTCACTTTGTAGCAATGTAAGTTCTGCAATTTCCTAGATGTTCTATAATCATGCTCATTGATAAGCAGAGCATAGATGAAAGAAGAGTATAAAAGAGAAGATAGGCATACAATAAATGTGATTATCTTAAAAAACAACCCACTAAAACTCTTGTAGTTCCCTTACCTATCTAGCTATGTTGTCTCTCCAAGCTAAGAAATTTGGGAAATTTATAATATATTCTGACTTTAGGAATTTAGATTTAAATACATAACCATACTGAAATGAAAAAAATCCATCTTTTATTCTTTTGAAAAGTATAGATTGCATTTAATGTTGATAATGTTGACAGGAACGCAAGACACTCTATTTCATATACATATATAGACAGAACTACTATAGTACATTTTAAATGTTGGATTTCTCTTCTGGAAATATTTTAGTTCTGAGCCATCCGAAGATGAAGATTCCCAAGGCCATCCCACCAGGACAGGTAGAAATAATGACACTGAAGAATTGGAAGACCTTTCAGAGTTGGAAGATCTTAAAGATGCTAAACTTCAAACCTTGAAGGAACTTTTTCCACAAAGAAGTGACAACGATTTACTTAAGGTTATGCCGTTTTGCAGTAATTGATTATTGTGGCTGTACTGATCTATTTATGCTCTTGTTGGTGGATAATAATTTTTCCTACAGTTATATTGAAGATAAGTATTCATTATTATATAATAATAAAGGTAAATGTCAGAAAATTTCTTGGTGAGGATCTTAACACATTAGCTCACCTGTAAAGTAATTTGAGCCTCAGTCGCTTATATCAGTTTTTGAAATGAGAGGAACTTCAGCTTGTTTTATCCAAGTCTTGTTAAGATACATTTATTTCTCTACAGAAATAAAATAAACTGCTGTAATTGGAATATATGGTATTTGATTTATTATAGATGATTTATTGTTATAAATGCAAGTAAAATTGCATTTTTGATGAAATATCAGATAGAAAATATATTTGTAAAGAATAAGATGATTTAGTGGATAGTTTGTAGTATTCCACCGCCAACCAAGAAAATAGTTTACTCCTAATTCTGCTACTTACTGATTCAAAGAATTTTGAGATAACGTTTAATTGTAGGTTAACTTATTTACATTTTTTTTTTAAATCAATACAAGCAGGAAGCCCCAACAGCAAACTTCCCATGTCCCAATCTCAAATGCTCTCCCCAATCTGAAGCTTAGGAAAGAAAGATATGGTTTAGGTAATTTTGAAGTGGTGGACACTGACATCACCATACCTAATAAGACTGGCTGCTGCTTAGCTGTAGCTGGATATGGCTATGTAAGGTTTCCTGCATGTTACTTGATAGATACTCTGAATGATTTAATTTTGATAATCAATATATTTAACACCTTGATAATAGTGTGTTCTTTGATAGCACAGTGGTTAAGCACTCAGCTGTTGACCAAAAGATCAGTAGTTTGAACCTAACAGTTGTTCATGGGAGAAAGGATAGTCTGATTCTGTAAGCTTTTATATAATATCAGAAATTATGAGACAGTTCTGATCTATATAATTTATAGGGTCACGATAAGTTAGAATCAACAGCCACAACTTTGATAACAGCAGTAATATTTGTCACATTAACTTTTAAAAAGCTTTTCTTTAGAATTGACTTTTTTAAAAGTAAGTTATTCTTATAATAATGAAATCATTACAAATATTGGAAAATTGAGAAAAATTTGAGATGTTTGGTTTTTTCTGAAGTCCAGAATCTTTACAGATGGTCTAAAAGCTATGCATTGAAATGTAATTATGTAACTAATGATGAATATACTATTTAAAAAATTTAAACACATTAGAAACAGTGTAAAAGAGAAAGACCTTTTGTCTCACTCATGTTGAGAAATACTAAATAAAAGATGAAGACAATTTTGTTATTCCCCTCAAAATAGAAATTGTCTCTTTCCTCTCCTCTCTTTTTATCTTTTTTCTATCATATGTGGCCTATACCTAGGGAATTTTTTTTTAAACCCTACAATTAAAGTAGCAGTAGAAATTTTGAATATGTTGCATGTATTTTGTTATGATGTTTTTTAAAACTTTTACACATTTTCCCCATCTTATATACATACTTTTTCTTTACTTTGTACATATTTATTCATTCTTACATACTATAATAACTTTCACCTTCATGAAATAGTGTTTCAGGAATTATATTTGAAATAGTCTTCTTTCTTTGATAGCTGATTGAATCAACAAGCACCATGGATGGAGCAATTGCTGCTGCCTTGCTGATGTTTGGTGATTCAGGTATGCCTAGTCTTAATCAGGTTGATGTATATAATAATAATAATAGTGTCAATTTTCTTATTTTTTAAATGTTGCTCTATAATTTACCAAGAACATTCATGAATTCTTAACAGATTTATTTCATTCTGTTCTTGTAGTTAAAGAAACTGACGCTTAAGTAGATTTAATTTTTTTACATAAGATCTTGGCATCTATTTGGATACCAGATTATCTCAGCTGAATTTTTTCCCCCCAGAAGAGCAACAAAGCTATTTTCTCATTTGTAATTTTGCTTAAATTTAAAGATCAGTTTTATGAAATTGAAGCTTTAGAAAGTATATTTTCTTCCCTAATAGCCATTCTTACTATATTGTGGTTTTATTGAGAAATCTGCAAATCTGAATCTGTAGAAACTAATGTCTTGTGGAATGTTCTCATCAGCATTTCAATAATTAGTGTACCTTCATACTCTGTTCTGGCATAGAATACAAAAATAAATACATTTCAGAGAGCTTACAATATAAAATCAACTCCAAAGTTTTAAAATTTTTTTTTCTTGTGTGTAAATAATGCTTTGGCTTTTTTTTTTTTTAATTGAGCATACCCAAAGATGTAATGAACAAAATTCACATATAGCCCCACTAATTAAAAACATTTTTAGTAAGGATTAAAAACCAGCTTATTTTCCCTTAATCACTCTTAAATTTATATCATTGTCAACTTTTTGTTAAATTTGCATACACTAGTATAGCATATACCTCCCCCCTATACAGTTCAGACTTTTACTAGTGTTGCTTTGTGTCTTAAAAAAATCATTCAAAAATTGTCCTTATCACCATAACCTTAGATTTATTTTAAAAAAGAACAAAATGAAATTCTCTTAACTTTCCTCTGTGACTAACCATGATTTATTATTTCCCTATTCACATTTATGTTTTTATTATTTTGTTAGTCTATTATGAAAGTTACCACCCTTAGAGCCCCATTGTTTTCTGACCAGATTGGATTCTACTGACTTTAGGATGGAGCAGAATTGCTCCATAGGGTTTCTAAGACTGTAATCTTTATAAGAAGCAGATTACTACAACTTTGCTGTATTGGTTGGCAGGTAGGTATAAGATACCAACCTTTTGATTAGTATCTGAGTGCTTAACTACTTTGCTACCATGGCTCCTTCAGGATAGTCTACAGAAATAATAAAGTTGTCTCCTTTTTAATAAATCTTTATTATTTCTTTGCTGTAAGTAGCAAATTAAAAATGTCCTGGATAAAAATAGGCACATTTTAATTTTAATCTGTATTTCTTTTTTTAAATTTTATTTTATTAATTTTAATGAACTTTTACAGAGATTTTGAATTTCCATTTATTCATTGTTGCACTTTTCTCCCTGCCAATCCCACCCCCCCAAGTTTGCTCTTTGAGAAGTAAAAGAAAAATTCTTTTATTGGTATATAATCCCTCCGCACACCCCTGCCCCTAGAACACTCCACTGTGCAATCTTAATTCTGGATTATTATGATAACCATAATACTCTATCATATATCACTTTTAAATTGTTCACTCCCTTATCTGTTTCAATGCAATATACATAATTTATCCCGTTTTTCTCAGTCTTACCCCAACCCTGAGGTCAGTCCCTTTCTATGACAGTGGCACCGTGTAGTATTTGTCCTTTTGTGACTGAGATACTTCACTCAGCATAATGTCCTCCAGGGTCACCCATTTTGAATAATATTGCATGAGTTCCTTGTTTTTCAGTGCAGCATAGTATTCCATTATGTGAGTATATCATAGCTTCTCTATACATTTGTTTTTTAAGAGGCACTTGGGTTGTTTTCAACTCCTTGCTATTGTGAACAAATCCGCAATAAATATGGGTGTACATATATCTGCTTGGATGTCTGTTATGGTCTCTGTAGGGTATCTTCCCAGTAGTGGAATTGCTGGGTCAAATGGTATCTCTATTTGCAATTTTTTGAGAAAACGCCACACCATTTTCCACAGTGGTAGACCATTTTATACTTCCACCAACAGTAAATATGGGTCCCAGTTTCTCCACAACCTCGCCAGCATTTGTTGCTTGCTGTTCTGTTAAATTTTGCTATTCTGACTGGGGTGAGATGATATCTCACAGTTATTTTTAATCTGTATTTCTATGTTACTTTTTAAACAGTTATGCCTTACTGTTTTCTTGTCAGCAATATTTGAGTCAATTCCTTTTCTTAGCCTTTTTTCAAAAAGTATAGATAGAAGCAATATATTTTCTTAAACACTCATCATTTTCATTTTCTACCTCATCTCCTTTACCCTCACATTTGAACAATGGAACAGTTATTATACTGTGTAGATTTTGTCTACATAAATTGTGAAGATTTTTTTTTTTTAAAGTTGCTCTCTTGTCCCTGTCAACAAATGCCTTTTGTCAATGTTGCCCAACTCTTTTGCATTTATTTTCTTAGCCAAAAAATAGTATAATTATAGAACTGGCATCATAGATTATTATGAAAATGAAGGGATACAGTTAATGTTAATTTCTTATTATAGTATGTACCATAGTAATTACCTAGTAAATATTCACATTTAGGTATCAGTAAGAACCGTGTGATACTAGCGGCGTGTTTACTTGTATTGATTGGCTATGCAGAAGCGCTTGGCTCTGGATCATAATAAATTATGGATAACATTGACAGGAACATAAATCCTAGAACACTTAATTGCTCTGTTTTGAAACCTGTACATGGACCAGGAAGCAGTTATCTGAACAGAAAGAGAGAACAATTAATTGTTTACAACCAGGAAAGATATTCTCATAGTTATATCCTTTCTACATACCTATTCAATCTGTATGCTGAACAAATAATTCAAGAAGCTGTACTGTGTGAAGAAGACTGACTTCAGGTTGGAGGAACCTACCTTGTACATGTGACACAACCTTATTTGTGAAAAGTAAAAAGATCAACGAGTACAGTGTTCAAAATTAATTACATCTCAGCATCAAGAAAACAGAAATCTTTTCCATGGCACCAATAGACAGCATCATAATAGGTGGTGAAAAGATCAAAATTGCCAACAGTTTTTGGGTTTTTTTTGGATCCACAGTCAATGCTTTATCACATATTTGGGGAATATTGCTATGAGATACTATATTCTTTGGAAAGGGACATCATACTTGGAAAGGTAGAAGGTCCACGAAACAGAAGACGACCCTCAAGGTGGTAGATTGGCAAAAGTGACTGCAACAGGGGGCACAAGTGTGTCAGAGATGATGAGGATGGCACAAGATAGGGCCGTGTTGAGATCTGTTCATAGGGTCGTATGTTTTAGTAGTACTCGATTCAGCAGCACCTAGCTACAGTAACATAATGATCAATACTCATCATATTCACGATAATAGCAGTCAAGAATTCAAAAGATGTGTCACATTGGCTGTCAAGGACCTCTTCAGAATGCTTGAGTGCAAGGATGTAAAGTTAAAGACTAAGGTAACACCTGATACAAGCCATGGTATTTTCACTTGCCATCTGTATACCTGTAACCTGGACAATAACTCAGGATAATTGATGCCCTTGAACTGTGGTGTTGAAGAAGAGTACTGAATATCCTATGGATTGCCAAAAGAACAAGTCTCTCTGGGAGGAAGGTTCTTTTCAGAAGCAAGGATATTGAAACTGTTTCTCATGCTTTGGACATATTGTTAAGAGGGACAAGTCCTTGAAAGACATTTCATTTCAGGAAAGAGAGGAAGACTCAACAAAATAGATTGACATGGCTTTTGTAACAATGTACTTGAGCCCATGAGATATTATAAAGATGATAGATACAGCATACAGGAAGGTTCAGATCTGTTGTTCATAGGGTTGCTGTGAGTAGTTAACTTGGTGACATCTGACTAAAATAGAAAATAGAAACTGATTCAACAGCACATAACAATAATAAACATGCTTACTTTAAAATTCCCAAACAAATGATAGATACATTTAATACTTGGTTTGAATTAGAAAAGAGTTTGGCGAATTTATTCTTTCTTAGTCTCACTTTGTCTTAATAGTTCATAGTCTTTCCATTGAAAACAAGTTTCTAAAATAATTTTCTTCCACAATATGGCCTAGATATTTTTTCTCTTGAAAAAAAATGAGTAATTAATACAAATCAGCTTATTTAGTAATTTTAAAAGCTCTTTCTTGTGTACCTCCTATATTAGAGGCCAGATGCTACTTTAGGTACTGATGCTACAGAATAAACAAAATGGATAAAACCACCTTGGACTTACAATCCTAATAAGACTTGAACATCAGATGAGTTTTTTCCCTTCCCATCCTTGCATTATAATATGCAAGTGGACTCTATCTTTCCCCCCTTTTACAGTAGATTCTCAGTCACTCTGACCCTTACTGGCAAAGTAGAACTGCCTGGTAAGCATATCCAAGGCTTTAAATTTAAATGTTTATAGGACCAGGTTGCCACTTCTTTGTCTTTCAGAGTGGTTAATAGGTTTGAACTGCACACGTTTTTTGTCTAATGCTTTAACCACTGCAGCACAGGGGTCTTACTAATTTTTGCCTTAATAATTTAGTTATTTGGCAGATGACAAGGAAGGAAGACACTGGATTTTATTTTTAAAATTAACATGCAACATCTTAGAATGAGTAAGAGTTGCATCTTTATCTTTAATTAAAGTATAATCCATCTTTAGATAATGTATGGAGTTATAAGCTTGTGTTACCAAGGTAAATAAACTTCAATCTTCTGTAACATTAGGACAAACTTCTTTGGGTATTTTAGAATAATTTCCAGGATAAGACTTCTTATAATAGGTATATGGGGCTTGGGCACTTCCACCAGTCATGTCTTACTAGAACTGGTCATTTTAATACTTTTAAAAGTCTTTGTTTGTTGTTGTTATGTACCATTGAGTGAGAATTGACCCATAGGTGACCTTTCAGTGGGCATTTAAATGCTCCCCTACAGAGGCATTTGATCTGCAAGAGAGGAGATTGCTTCTCCTTTCGCAGAGTGGATG